GAGGCGAGGACGAGGACCGGGACCAGAATAGTACGGTGAACCACTGTGGCCGCCGCCGCCGCCGTTACCACCATCGCCGCCGCCGCTGCAGCGGTGCCTGACGGCGGCGGCGGCCAAACGCGTTGCGCGCGGGCGGGGGAAAATGAGGATGAGGACACAACAGTAAATTAAAAATACTGACCAAGAAATGAGCAGAGCGAGGGAGGCGGTGGTGGCTTTGGGGTTGTGGTTAGGGTAGTGTGAGGTGAGAGCGGGGGTTTGTGCGGGTTACTTGGGTGATAGCGGTGGTGGTGGTGATGGTGGTGATGGTGATGGTGGTGGTGATGGGGTGGATGGTGGTGGTGCCCCACATGCGCCACACAACTCCCGCCTCTTGGTGGGGCCTCTGGATTGGGTGGCTCCAACTTTATTTCCAACATCACCGCCTGCACCATCGTCATCAGCATCAGCATCGTCGTGACTGCCATCGTCATGATTATTAGCAGCAGCACAGCAACGCAAAACGCCGGCAGCTGCAGCATTACAAGCGTGACCAACATCGCTGGCAGCTACGGCAGCTTGTGGTTTGTCAACTGGGCTGTAGCTGGCGGGGTACGGCACCATTATGCACGCTGCCCCCACGGATGCATCATCTTTCCCCTTCAGGTCTCAATTAACACATTATTAATGCATAAAGTGAAGCCGGCATTTGCCAGAAGGCATCATGGTTACTATTATATTTTCTTTATGTGTGCAAGTGCGCAAGTCCTGATAAGGTAACGGACGCGGTATATGACTGTACATGATGCTTTGACGCTTCGATTACGGTATTGCCCTGGGGTGAGAGGCCTGAGGGGAGAAGAGTGTGTATGCCCATTTCCGCGGCATGAACGGTGTTTTTTTGGGGGAAGAGGGGGTTGATGATACCGCCGCCGTGTGGGAGTTGGGAGTGGGAATCGAAAAGTGTCTTTCTGCGCAGAGAAAGAGAAAGAGACGGGTATAGTGTTGTGTGCTCCCGACACGGCACGACGGGGGCTCTCAAGTCCCGACTGAAAGCCGCTCTCACCCATATTTAGCTAGGGCAGAGACCCTCTGAGATCCGGACCCCTCCGGTTCAAAAGAGAAACCAAGTGGAAAAGACGGCTGGGGTGTCCCGGACGGGGGAGGTTCGACTGTCGCGGCAAACGATCCTAGGGAAACCTTCCGAAGAAGAACAGCGCAAAGAGAGCTGCTAACAAACCACAAAGCCGCCCTGCAGCAACCCTATAACTGCTCCCTCCCTGGGCTGGGCCAGAGGAGAAACAACATAGTAAGGAAAGGGGACAACGTACCAGAAGCACGTACCGCACCAGACGGGACAGATATACATACGATGCCAGGGAACAAGGCCAGGGTATGCGTACATACGTATTTCTAGGTTTAGGCACTACTGGTAACGCGCGACCATTGCCCCCGGGAGATTCCGGGATCGATACCCGTTAGGGTCAAAGTCCTTCCGAAGGTGGAAGGCGTTGCGCCCCTAGTTGATGGACGGTGGTGACCTGGGATAAAGTTAACCTGCGAGCCGACCAGGAATGGAGTTGGGCCGCTGTCGACCCGGCAGATTCCGTTGGATGCTGGTGGTGGGTGCGGAACCTGAGCGATCCACTGAGAAGTTGACTAGGGTGACTGGATGAGGGTGCCCCGAAATACCGGGGAAGGCAGGGTTTCGCCGGGTAGCTGCCACGGGCGAAGATACACCCCCCTGTCCCACATATCATGGCCAGGGACATACGTGCGTACAAGGCCAGGGACAGACAGGCGAAAGCGCGAAGGAGAAGACTCTGTGGTCTGTGTGTGCGTGTGTGTGCCCACGCTTCCGTACGACCTGAAGACCTTGGGTTTTAGGGTATCCGGGCTCGTACCACCTGGTAAGGGGATGCCAAAGGTAGCAGGCTGTTGCGTATGTGCGGTCCTGTGTTCCGCAGGTTAGACCTGACAAGACCACCTGGGGAGAGTTGAGGAGGCTTTGTTTCGTTTTTGCGCTCAGGGATTCGCGCGCATGGCTTTTCGGGGAACCCGCGCGTCAGCAATGAGAATTCCGGGTTAAGAAATTGGGTCGATGCTTTGCTTCCTGACTGATCCATGAATTGTTTCAGTGATCAGGGCCTTTAGTGAAAGGCTCGGAAGGCTGAAATAAGGGGCTTAGCCAAGGTCTTCCCTGTTCGACGGGGGAGGGCTTCACGATTCTATCCTCTGCTGCTTCAGGAAAATAGACGATAAAGAATCCTTGAATAACGCTTACAGCCGAGCAAACATGTACCAAATTGCTTGAGAGTACTAGTAAGTCAGTGCAGGTTTCCTGGAACAATCTCCATCTTCGAACTCTCCCGACGTGTCGTATTCAGGACTGAGGATTCGCCAACCATGCTTCCTGCGCAGGATTCATGATAGGAAAGTCTTTCGAAATCTCCTTCAACGTTTCACCGTTAATGATGGACGGCTTTTGATATCGTTGCGGGAAGGATTCATCGCTAGGTCTACCAGGGCGGTCAACATACCAGAGTACCTTGGAATGCGCTTATGTCAAAGAACGATAATTGGTGTAAGTCGCATTGCGGACAGTGCCCGAGGACTGCCTAGAGGATAGGTTGGGTAGGCAACTTGGAAGATTCTGAGCCGCTTGAACAAAATGTCTGGCATCAACTACTACCAGTTGCTCGGCCTCCGGGCTACTGCTTCTGATGGTGAAATTCGTCGAGCCTACCTGCGGCTGAGTCTCCAGTACCACCCCGACAAAAGACGGACGCCTGACGCCGACGCCGACGAGCTCTACCGCAACATCCAGGAGGCCTATGAGACTCTCTCCTGTCCCGAAAAAAGGTGCCTATACAATTTCGTTGGATGCTTCGCGGCGCTTGCGGAAGTCACGGCATCGCGTCCTGTAGCCATGCCAACCAATCCAAACGGTTGGCAGCAGGAGCGCCGCAGAGCGGTCGCTACAGATTTTTCTCCGTGTAACGGGCTTTGGTCTCGCAGCAGCTCTGGAGATACCCTGCACTCCTGGGGGACCGCGTCTTTCTCCTTTGCTTCTGCATCCCGCATGTCGCCATCATCGGTCGACTCGACGAACCTCAGCTCTAGCCCTGTCGGCATTCCAAGTACCTCACCAGCCTCGACCTCCGTCTCGGCCTCAATTTCCGACTACCATAATTGCACTCGCTCTGAAAACCTGGTGAACGACTCCGGTGCCTTGGGATTGACAAGTGACGCCTCCAGAACAGCTGGCATCAGCGGTCACACACGACCCCACATTGACCTCCCTCAAGCCTCAACGACGGGCCACGGAGCCGCCACGTCGTCTGGGATTCCTCTCCCAAGTGCCGTACACCAGTCCCAGTTACACCAGTCGCCCTTTCAACGGCTCCAAACGGAAACCCAGATCGAAGAACCGCACGAGGCGGGATCGGCCTCGGTCTCACAGCGACCGATAGTCACCGCTTCCCCCCAGGTGCTGCTCTCACTTCCTGACGGCGGAAGAAACGATATATCCGACGATATGTCCGACATGCCCGCACCCGCGTCTTCTCCTAGGCGGCCAGTCGCCGTTGGTATCCCTCCTCCAACGCTTGCTACCGCTGTTGCAGCTGCTGCCGCCGCCGCCGGTGGTGATAGTGGCGGCGGCTGGGGCGGCAGTAGCAGCCCAGTCACTAGCCCTGGCAGCCTTCTCGGTAAGCGCCGTACACCCGGCGGTGCCAACGACGCGCAGCTACATCCTCATTCGCCGTATCGGTATTCTATCTCGCCGCAGCCGCCGTCAGCTGCGTCCGGCGATTCCACCGCTGCGGCCGCAGCCGGCGGCGGCGGTGGCGGGAGCGTGTGTTTCAGTCTCCCTGGCGGCGGCGGCCGCCGGCCCGCGTCAGCTGACGTGTACCACCGTCTGTTGTTGACGCTGGAAGAGATGTACAGCGGTTGTGTGAAGCAGCTGAGGCTGGCGAGGCGAGTGTATCAGCCGCCACCGGCGGCGACGGGAGGGCTGCCATCGTCGCCGCCGTCGACGGCGGCTGACGGCGGCATACTGTGCGAGTTGGGAGCGGCGGCGGAGGATACCACTAGAGTGGAGCTAGCTGCCGCTGCCCCTGCCGCTGGCGGTGGTGGTAGTAGTGGTGGCGGCGGCGGTGGTGACGTCAGCGGGGCCTGTGCGGCCTGGCGGTCTGTGGAGGAGCTGTTTCGAGTTGTCGTACAGCCGGGCTGGCGCGAGGGCACGAAGGTCACCTTTCCCGGTGCGTTGACGGTCGGTTGGGCAGTTATCAGTTTCTTGTGGTTTGAAGCGGTTATTAAAGGTCTTAGGTAAGCCTTTGGGTGGGGGAAGATGCTCCTTCGGAGGGGTAAACACACCACGTGTGTCATGGTGACTGTATTCTCATGTTGGGTCTGAACCCCCCCCCTCCTCCACCCAAATCTATCTTTTATTCACCTGGACCTTTGTACGACAACGTACGACAGTGTACGACACAGTATTGCATTGTTTGCTTTCCGTATTCGTGTTATATCGTAAACGCTATGCAGGTAAGGGCGACGAGCTCCCCTGCGGCTCCCGCGGTGATATGGTGCTGGTGGTGGCTCAGGCCGCACACGAGCAGTACGAACGGCACGGCAACGACCTCCACACGGTCGTTATCGTACCTTTGGTGGATGCGCTAACTGGCGGCGACACGGCCATCACCACTCTGGACGGTCGTACGATTGTACTGCAACTAGGGCCCTCCTGCCTGCAGCCCTTTAGCGAATTCGTGGTTAAAGGGGAGGGTATGCCTCAACCCCCGGGCAAAGCCAAAGCCGCGCGTACGGGCGGCGGCGGCGGCGCCGCCGCCGTCATGGACGGAGCGCCTACCGCCGCCGCCGCCGCCACCACTGCTGCTGCGGCGGCGGCGCGCGGGGATTTGCGTGTTCGTTTCGAAGTCTCCTTCCCATCTGACCTAACTCCTGAGCAGAAGTCGGAGCTGCGACGTGCGTTACTCGAGTAGTAGCTGCTGCTGCTGCTGCTGCTGCTGAGTTGCTGTAACCACCAACACAACAAGGCTGTAGCTGCCACCGCCGTCCTAGGCTCTAGCTGCTTAGATACCTGCTTACTGCCCACAGCAGCAGCAGCCGCCACTGAAGAGTATTTAAAAGCTTGGTGTGTCTTTCTTTGCGACGCGCAGTACCGTTTTGGAGTGATCGTGAGCTGTCGGGCCATGATGTTGATGATGATGTTGATGATGATGAGTCAAGAGAGGGAGGCGAGGCGAGGCGAGGAAATGAAGAAAAAATGCTTTTCCCGCATCTGCGGCTTATCTCGGCTTATGCACAGGTTTTAGGAAGGGGTTTAAATATTTTGCTATCAAATGCTATCATCAAGTTTTTATCTTTGCGTCTTTCGGGATTTAGGATTTGAGGATTCTCAACCTCACCTTGCAGAAGAGAAGATATTATCATCAGCAGCATTAACGGTATCAAGGCACATCTCGCTGCATGGGCGGATGTTGAGCGGTTGCTGACGTGGCCGCGGCGGCGGCGAGGAGGAGGAGCGATTCGGGCATGAAAGCCGAGGGGTAAATACCCCTTCTTCGCTGTAGGGGAGTTCATCCGGGTAAATCGGAAATTGGGAGATGAGCAATTCTAAAATTATATGTGCAGAGGGCATCGGCGGCGGCTCGAGCCGGATCCAAAATTATATGTTGTCGTTTCGTTAAGCATGCTGCCACTGGATGTGCACCACTTTGTACGGCAGAGGGAAAGGAGAATGGGCTTTTGCTGTACGGCGGCCCTGACCTGCTTGTGCGAGTGCTTTCCGTCGGAAGGGGAAAAAAGGCACTGCAGCGGTGCTGTAATCTTCCTTTTAAGCAAGTTGTACGGCAAGGGGACAGTTTATGTACGGATGACATGTGTACGGCAGGAATGGGCAGTATGGAGATGAAGTGGTAAGGCACCTCTGGAAGGATGGATGTACGACACATGCTGCCGTGTACGGACGTACGGAAATGCGGGCAGGGCAGGCTTTGCTTCCCGGCATTTTATTTTCTTGCTCTGCTGTTAGTTGTTTAAGTAGGTTTTTGTTGGTTGTGCAATAATTATTTGAACCCAACCCAACAACTGAAACAACCGACAACCAAGATGGAGATAGAGAGGTTCCGTCGGGGGGGGGAAAGGGGGCGGCGCACCACCTATGTGCGCGACCTTGCCTGCAAGGCAAGGCAGTTGTTCTGGTGGTTGGGGTGGTTGGGGTGCTCAGGAGGCGGCGGGTATTGATCCCCCCTCTCTTTCCCCCCTTGGTGTTTGCATTTCCCATGGGCCCCACGGTGGGTTGTGTGTGTGTGTATGTGTGGCGTGAAGCAGCGCGCGTGCGTGTTTGTGTGTTATATTCTGTATGTACGCGCGTATGTACGTATGTACGTACGTGTGTTCACGAATGTGCATGCTTGGGACATGGTAGAAGGAATAACACCTCTAACCTGTCGTTATGTATGCGGACGGTTGTACGGATTAGTGTACGGACGTCTCATGATCTTGCATCAGTGTCACGGCGCAGGATGCTGTGTGTGGATGAAGAAGGGCACGGCACCGGGGATGCCGTACGGTACGGCGTCCAGTTTGATGGGCTTTGCCCGTATCGTGTTGCCGTACTCTGATGCTTTCTTACAGTACACTCGTCTTCACATTTTTTGTTGTTCGTTTTGTTGTTCGCAAGCGGGGGGGCGTATCACGTAGCGCCTGCCCTTTTGTGCACACTGCTACATTTCTGTGTGGCTTTGAGTGTTTGCGTCTGTTTGCCTGTCTGTTCGTTTGTCGGTATGTCTGTTCATGCCATTTCCACTTCGGCGTCGTGAACGAGACAAGGGACATAGACAGACAGATAGACAGATAAACAGACAAAAACTCAGCCAACGCTATTCGTGGTTGGGCCAAATTTTACTACACACCTTCCTACACCATTCGCTTGGTTTCTGGTATTAGCGGTTACAGCGGCAGCGGTAGCTACGGCAGTAGTAGCTACGGCTGCCGTTGAAGGCCCTGCGTGTTTCCGTACATCTCGGGTCCCAGTTCCTCTGGGTATAGATCCGGATCTGGTTTTCTTGGTCGTACATGTGGTCGCGTACATGTGGTCGCGAGGGCTTTGTGCGTTCCCTAAGGTTTAGTTATCATTTTGAGATTTTTGGTTTGAACTTTATTTGTGTTTGAGATGCGACTCGCTTTTTTCCAGTATATGTACGATCTCCTGGAAAGCCGTACGTAGTACGTAAAGGGAAATGTTACTCCAGACGCGATGGGAAATTTCCTGGGGTACTTCAAATTGATGGTAATGAGTTGATGTTCATGATCCTGCTGCGGGTGATAATGTTAATGAATTTGCGTCCTGGTGTTGTGTGTGTTCGTGTGTATTCGTGTCTGTGTGTTTGTGTGTGTGCAATTGGTTGGTGTGCATGCGACGCTCACGCGCTAGCGGTGGGCGACGGACGTTTGCCATACACACTGTGTGGTTCGTTGGTGGTTGGTTGTTGGTTCATTGCAGTTCGTACGACCGACACTGAACGCGTTGATTTTGTGTTTTGGTTGTGTGGCGGTGGGTTGATTTGTTTATGTTATGTGCAGGTTCCCCTCCCTTTGCTTTCGCTGTGTCGCTTTGCCGCTGCAACGCCGGCGGTTAGTTGTTGTGTGGTTATGTGAATGCGGTTATTATGGTTATGTGCGCGTACGTTGGTAGTGAGAAAAGCACCGCCGCCGCCTCCTCCCAAATTCTGTAGCATCAACAATTTCTTTAGCATCAATAATTTTTGCTAATTGATGAAGCAAGATGATGAGCAGCGCGAACAGGTTGATATGTAAAAGCTAACGTTGGACGATGTCGACCCTCCTCCTGAGACCGCATCCTCCGTAGTAGCGTATAACTGCGCGCCAGCGTCAGAGCGCAGAGCCCAGTAGCTCTGATGATCGAAAAAAAACAGAAAACCCTTACGTATACGTGCTTCCACCACCCTCCCACCGAACTCCTTATCCCACAGTCTCTCTGTATGTATGTCTTTATTTCCCTTGCGCAGTCACACACATACACACATACACACAGGGGGGTTTCACGTACGTATCCAAAACTTTTTTTTGTTGATTATGCCACTGATAGATGATGCGGATGCGGATGACGAAGAAGGCGGTGTTGGCCGCCCCCATCACCCAAACTGCAAATCCTTCTTTACGGACCTCCCATACATACATGCATACATACATGCATACATACACACATTATGGAATGGTCGTTGACTGGCTGTCCGACAAACAGATAGATAGCAGCTCTTCCAGCTACCCCAGCTGCTGCTAGACATTAGAAGAGCAACATCAGTAGCTACAGGAGTTTAATTCCTTGGAGGGGAGGGGGAGGGGGACGGGGGGGGAGAGGGGGAGGGGAGGGGAGGGGAGGGGCCTGGTGGCAGCGGGGGTTTGCTATCAGGGTCAGGGTAGTTAAACATCTCGATAGTTTCCATGGTATGGCGCGGTATACAAATAAAACACCAGCTAGGGACTCTAAAAGCGTCACACAACAACCTGCCGAAACGTAAGCACAAGAATTCCAATGATTGAGGGAGTCAAGAGGCACAAGAGAGCCGCATCCCCCGGGGGACCGCTCGCAAATCACTTTACTGGGGATTATAGATGAGCGCTTTTTCAGTATCTGCCAAACGCCTTTATATAGGGAGAATTGCATGCGCGGGACGTAGCTTAGACTGGACAAAATATTGAGACTGCGTTTACTGGGCTAGTTCGAATTGCGCCACAGTGCTTCCCATAGCGGCCGCTGTCTTGCTTATCCCAGATCTGAGGGAATCTTTCCGGAGGGCCTTCTCCAAGACCAAAGGCCGAAGAGGGTTGTGCATATGCATACGGCTTTTGCCCCAAGTCTGTGGCTGTCGCCGAGCTCAGCTGGCGGGCGTAAAGATTTGCAATCTCGTTTTCCAGAGTTACGAAAACAAAAGTGGCAAGCCACGGCTGAAGGGGCGAAGGAAAATTGGCATACGCCTCGAGGATCAGGGTTCTTAAAAATTATCTGACGGTTACAGTACTGTACCGTTCTCATTGCCAAAATGTGACAATCCAAAACGTCACAAGATGTGCACACGCCATGTTTGTTATATTACCTTGCTATGCCCCCATGTATGTCATCTGCTTCAGGGGTTAAAACCTAGGATAACGACCGTGTTGCTCGTCCGCGGCCTAGCTGCATTAAATGTGACTTGTGTTCCTTGGATTACGGAAGTCGCTATATGTTACAAGTTCTGAGGTACATTTGGCGATCACTTTGAAGGCTCTTGTCACACGCCGGCGTTAGTAGTACACTTGAGTTACACAACGCACTGTTACAGGTCCTCCCAAAGCAGGCGCTACACAATATATCCTTGTCTTCGCTCAAAAAGTATCTTCTGGGGGCTTTTTGACCAGATCAAAGGAACGCAGCAGCTTTGCGCGGCTACGGCGCAACGTCATTGACGGGTTCTCCCGGTCGCGTGGCTTGACACCATCATCCAAGATCCGACATAATTCTAACACCATTTCATCGACATCCAGCTGCTAAAACTGCACTAAGCTTTGACCCCCTATCGCGTCCTTACGGCCACCATTGCACGGCGCACAGTGCATCTGGCAGCGCACAAAACAATACTAATAATTGATTCCAATATAAAATGGAAATTTCCTCAACGGAAGCTCATACGCCTAATCCGGACGAGGCACCGGCCCAACCACCTCGCCAGCAAGGAGGAGGACCGCACTCCCCGCTGCGCCAAAACCCCTCCACGCGCCACAGTCCCAGCCCCTTAGGCCTAGCCACGCCCCTACCAAACCCTTCCTCCTCCACCCACCCAGCTACAACGCCTCTTGGATGTCAGCCAGAATCCCAGCCACAGCCAGAATCCCAGAATTCCGCGCTACTTCCCTCCCTCGCCTCAAGATCTGCCCCCATCTCCGCCTCTAACCCCGCCCACTCACTTGAGGCGCAACAAAGCACCAGCTACAACCAGCTCACCCCCGGCGGTGGCGGTGGCGGGCCCCTTCACGTTGCATCCTCCTCCTCCTTCCATCCTGGAGGCGGCAGCGGCGCCGCCGGCACCACCAGAGGCAGTGCCAGCGTCAGCCTCAACGGTATCAACGGCGGGGTGTCCCTCAGGGGAAACTCTGGCTCGTCCTTGGGACGCTCCATGTTGCTGTTTCCCTCCACAGCCGAGCTCGCCCGCCGATTGAGGGGTTTGGTGACGAACGCCGCCGTCAACTTTCGCGATGTGGAGCTGATGCCGAAGCCGCAGCCGCCGGAGGGCGACATGGAGGGCCTTATGGAGGGCCTTATGGACCAGCAGGGAGAGGAGCCTGACGCTGACGCCGCTACCGGCTCAACGGCGGCGTCAGCATCACTGGCGGCGGCAGCGGCAGAGGTCATCGGTCGTAACGGCAGTGGTGGCGGCGGCGGCGGTGGCGCTGCCGCCGCGGCTGCCGCCGCTGGCGGCGTTGGGGCGGGGAGTGATGGCGACGGCAGTGGAGACGACGGAGGCCACGGCGCGGCGGATGGCGCCGCCGCTGCCGCGGCAGCGGCGGTGGCGGCGGCTGGGGGGTTGCCTTTGCCACCGATGCCGTTGGCGGCGGGTGTTGTCGCCGGCGTGTCGGCGGGCTGCTCTCGAGTACGGACCAGCGGCGCGGTGGTTCGAAAGAACAAGCTGGTCATCATCATGGTGTGACACACGGTGGTTTTTGCTCTCGCGGATAGTTTAGAGATTTGGGATGTGGATGTGGGTGTGGGTGTGGGTGTGGATGTGGGTGTGGATGTGGGTGTGGGTGTGGGTGTGGATGTGGGTGTGGATGTGGGTGTGGATGTGGGTGTGGGTGTGGGTGTGGATGTGGGTGTGGATGTGGGTGTGGGTGTGGATGTGGATGTGGGTGTGGATGTGGATGTGGGTGTGGGTGTGGGTGTGGATGTGGGTGTGGATGTGGGTGTGGGTGTGGATGTGGGTGTGGATGTGGGTGTGGGGGGGGGATAAAACGAACCACTGACGAATGAAGCTGATCGCCAGAGACAGGCACCAGAGGAAGGGAGAGGCGGGGGAGAAAGCCTGGTGAATCAGGAGGGGCCAGGGAGGGCTAGCTGTCCCCGGTCCCTTAGGGGGTCTGTGAGCGCGGGAGAGAGCGACGAAACTAGACAAACAGACGAAACTAGACGCAAAAAAACACAAAACGATGAATTATTATTAAATTGCAACGGGGTTGAAGGAGAAGGTGCCGTTGCAGCTGCTGCTGCTACTGCTGCTGCTGCTGGTACTGTTGCTGTGATGACACGTCTGCTGCTGCTACTGTTGCTGCTGCCATTGCTACTGCTGCTGTCAGGTCGGTTTACCAGGTCGTGGCAAGACGTTTCTTTGCAACAAGCTCTGCTGCTATCTGAACTGGTGGGTGGGCGGGGGGGGGGGAAACATACATACATACATACATACATACATACATACATACATACATACATACATACATACATACATACATACATATATACATACATACACATACCTCTTTAGCCTTAGGCTTCTGAGTGGGGGAGAAGAAAGACAGTCTGTGGGCGACAAAATAAATGTGTGGGCGAGCGGCAGAAAGGAGGGCAGCGGGTTAATTGCCGTCGCGTGCTCATGTGTGTATGTACGTCTGTCCGCGTGTATGTACGTCTGTCCGCGTGTATGTATGTATGTATGTACGTCTGTCCGCGTGTATGTATGTACGTATGTATGGAAAGACGTTGATGGGGGCCGCACGAGGACAACGAGGGTTCGCCCTCGTAACCTATTTGCCCCTAACTAACTTAAATCGGTTTTCATAAGCCCCACACAGATATGAAGCAGCTCTAAAGGCTCTTGGTGGTATTGTCCTGCATCCATTCTTTTGTTCGTACTTCTGTACTTCTGTAACTCACTTTTCGCAGGCTGGGCCATGCCACCCGCCACTTCAACGTCGGGTCGTACCGCCGCCGCCAGCGGCATGCCGATCAAATGCAGGACGCGGAGTTCTTTGACCACACCAATGAGGTGCGTGTCAGTTAGTTCGTTGGTTGGTTGGTTGGTTGGTTTAACTGTGGCGCGAAGGTTGCGAAAGAAATTGCGATGTTGTGAATTGAGGGTGCATAGTGTATGATTGAGTCCGTATGTATGTGTGCGCGTGGAGTTGTTTTCGTAAGGAGGTGGTTTTCTCTCCCCCCTTTCCCCCCCGCCTCGTGGTTCGCCTTTTCCCCCCCCCCCGCCCCCTTCCCCCCGTCGGCATGTCAAACCCTTCCGCGAGTTTTGCACCCTTTGCGAAGCCGCGGCCGATGTGTCCAGGTGCCGTACACTGGCACCTTCCCAACTTACCGAAACACATGACCGCTTACCGGCCCTTACGCGCTCCCTCCCCCCGCCCCACGCGCCCCAAAACAACACCTACATACATACATATGCGCATACATACATACGCAAACATGGTTAGGCTGGTTTGGAGGCTCGTCATAGAGCTCTCAACGCGGCTTTGGACGATCTGACTGCCTGGCTGCGAAGTGGTGAGGAGGGGGACCCGGGGGGGGGGGGGAGGGGGCTCACACTGGTTTTTTTTCCGTTGCATCCGTTCGTACATTTGCTTCCTCCCCCTTCCTGGAACTCCTCTACAGATCAGGGACAGGTAGCTGTGTTTGACGCCACGAACACTACCGAGTCGCGACGTAACCTGCTGGTAAGCAACGGAGCTGGTGGGGGGGGGGAGAGGGTTGCCGGGAGCCTTGTTCGCCGTAACCTTCCCGCCCCTCTTACCACCATCGCCTGGTAACTCTCCCCCTGCCTCTCCCCCCCTTCTCCCCCCCCTCCACACGCGCACACATACACATAC